AGTTGAACCCATATGATTTGACCCCAAAACTATGTATTAACCATTGTTTTAGTCTGTTTTCTGTTGTTATAACAAAATGCCTGAAACTGGGTAATATACAGAGAAAAGAACTACATATGTAATTCAGGAGACTGGGAAGTCCAAGGAGCCTCATCTAGATGGTTTTTCTTGCTGATGAGGACTCTGTAGAGTTCTAAGGTGACAAATAACTTTATGTGGTAAGAGAAAGTGTGCTGCGCCCAAAAGAACTCACTCACAAAACAAAGCTACTCCCTCTATAACTCATTAATCCATTAATCCACAGATGGATTGATCCATTCATGAAGTTACAGCCTTCATGATTCAGTCACTTCCCAAAGGTTCCCACTCCCAAATACCATTAAGATATAATTTGGGGGACTAATTTTTTAAAGTATGAGACAAATGTTTAAACCATAGCACCACTTCACTTTCCTGTCTCTCAGTGGCTTTTTGGGGATTCTGCAAATTGGAGAGTTGGAGAAAAAAAGACAATGGGAACAGAATGAGCAAATACATGGAGAAGAGTAGGAGCTATCTTTTGAAAATTGAGTGTGCTCAGATTGATTTAGTGACTAATTTGATGTTGGAATGGAAGAGGAGTGGCAAATTAGAATGGTTATAAGCTGTTAATGACATTAAGAAAATAAGTATACAAAGCAAATATTTTGGGGTAGATTTTCTGTATATTGACAACATTATCATGAATCTCAAATGACCCTAACCCTTTATAAAAACAGAATTTTCCTTTTATGAGGAATGTTTTAGGGTCTCCAAAATTAACCAGGTTCAGTGACTCATTTAAAGAACTCAGGACTCAGGATATAGTTTAATTTATGGCTAAGACTTATTATAGTAAAATAACACAAAACAAGGTCAGCAAAGAAAAAAGGTTAATGGAACAAAGACCAGAGGAAACTAGGTGCCAGATTTGAGAGTCCTCTGCCAGTGGACTTACCAAAGGCACATCTACTTCCTCCAGAAGTGAGTTGTACCAATGCATATGAAGTGTTTTCTACTGGGAAAGGCTCAGCATGCAAAATTTTTTATTGGGGAATGGTCACACAGGCACCTTCCACCCAGCATGTACCCCAATACCAGAAAGCAGGTGCTCAGAATAAATTATATTGCTTATACAAACGGGTTAGGAAAAGTTAGCTACTCTTACCCTTTAAGGAAAACTTTCTACTTTTTACTTGCCAATATCCTTCGTGTTGGCTAGGGATCAACCTATGGAGCAGGCCTTTCTAAGGTTAGAAAACCTCAGGCCTGTTACATTAACTCTTTTCTACACAGAATTTCCAGAAAAATATGTTCTTTGTCAAGCAAATAATATTGCCTTTTATTCTGAGCATAAGAACCTAAGTGAAAGAGACATCCATGTTCACTTTAATAAATGCATTTGATGTATGCTTGGGAAATGAGCTTAGCATCAAATCACATGGCCCAGAATTGGTCTAAGTATAGGCTGGTTGAGGCCTCGAGGCTGAGAGCAAGCATCTGCAAGTCTTTTCACCTTCTAAGGCTTACAACAAAACATTCTTTTTAGTCTTGCTAAGAGGGTGGCTAAAATAAGTCAGAGAAACCTTAGTCTAATCCATATCCCAAGAATTTATTGTGTTGTGGTAGTAGAGGGCTTGAGACTTGGATGTTCAGAATAGACTCTCTTTGTCATCCTGAGACTCATGTCACACATGAAACACGCTTATAAGCCTCAAGAAAGGAATAGATCACACAGCCATATCTGGGGTATTGGAGATCAAAGATTTAATGTGGAGAAAATACATGTTTTAATGTTTTGAAACACTTAAATTTTCTGATGTCAAATCCAATCTGGTATATTGAAATCAGAGATATTATAGAAAGGGACACATTGGGCTTTGAAATATACTAAAACTGAAGGATTAAATTCTTGAGCTGGGAAAATGACTATGGTAATGTTTCTACTGAAAATGAACAGATAGCTTCTGTAATCCCAGAAGCTGGGGAACCTGAGGCAGGAGGATTGCAAGTTCAAAGTCAGCTTCAGCAATTTAGCAAGGTCCTAAGCAACTTAGCAAGACCCTGTCATGGGTGTGGTTCTGTGGTCAGGGGCCCTGGGTTCATTCCTTGGAACCAAAAAAAAAAAAAAAAAAAAAAAAAAGAAGAAGAAGAAAGAAAAGAAAATGCATAGACAAAAGGCTTTACAAATATATAGTATATATGAATAATATGTTATGATGAGATGTAGTATAATTTGTTTCTTGTGAATTGTAAATATAACTAATTAAATGCACAGTTGCAGCTATCCAATAATGTCAGGAAGATTGAATTTTAAAATTTTGTGCTGAAAATCATACATCAGTAGAAACAAAAGTAAACACTAAATTTCTGTGTCCTTATACTCAATAGACTGGAAAATAATCTTCCCAATCTTGTGACTGATTTGTTCTTACTTCATTTGAGGTTATTGATAATGTATGTCAAATTTTCTTGTAGAATCATTCTAGCTTTTGTAGATTTTGTATTTTTTTTAACATGGAGAATTCCGATATGTCCTGATTGGTTTAATACATGGTCCATGCCATGTTAGCCATTTTTCACTTACTAGTTTTTAGACACAATAAATAATGATATATTTAATAGAATATGAAAACTGTCTACTCTAATATGCAAAGTCTAATTCTGTTGTTTAAATGTCATAATATGTTTTGTTTTTGAAGGTTTCAACATTAATTATAACTTTCAAAACAGAAAAAAAATAGCATTTCCTCCTAAGTGAAATAAAACAATATAAATGAATAAATTGTAAATGACATACTGGAATATCAGCCATGAATTTTGATGTACCAATATGTTAATGTGTGTATATTCTAGAAAATTCATCATAAAATGACTGATTTTTGTTTTGCATACATCTTTTTACCTAATTTTAATACATACAATAATTTAAATGTTTCATGTAAACATACATTTGCAAATGTATTAAACACATTTGCACTTTCTTAAAAAAATCTGTAGAGATTCTTATAGACATATTCTGCTATCTAGTATCTTTTGCAATTTTTCCCGAAATAAAATACACAATTGTAATAAATATTAAGGAAGTCAGAAATTTTGCATGATTTGTTCCCCAAATCTTCTCAGACACTTGGGATGTCTACTTTACTTGAATGCAATTAGCAATGTTTTAATATATTTCAACAACTATTACATATTTATTTATACATTTAAATGCTCCTATATGAAAATATTTCCTTTTATTTTGTTCCAAATACTCTCAATACTATTGAAAGCTTATATTCTATAATTAAATTTGTCAAGGAATAGCTTCTGCTCTCCCAGCTTTTATTATCTGCTCTTCCAGAATTTATTAAAATCCACCATTTTTGATAATTATTTATAGATTTACTGGAATTATGTCATTGTTCTCTCCAATCTAATAGAGAACTCCAAACATTTAAACAAGGAGTAAAGAAGAAAAATAAGAGAGCCTATACAGTGACACATAACACGGGGGGTAAAGTTTTTTTTTTTGTGTGTGTGTGTGCGTGGCATAATTTAAAGAAAGTAGGAATTTGAAATGAGCTTGAAATCCTAAAAAAAATCCCCAAAGAATAGAGTATGTCATTGAACATCCTTAAATCTGAATGAGATTACTCTAGAGCAAATGATTATTCTATTTATTTTCTGCTAATCTCTAGAAGGCTACAGTATCTGAAAATCTGCAATATCTTGAATAGATGGATGAAAGAAGATTTAATTGAATTAGCAAATGAAAATGAGCCATCTATAGGAGTTGGATCATCAGTCAATCTATCTTTTCAAGGTCAAGATAGCCTTTTACCCTTAAAGACAACAATGGTAATATGTCATATCTGTAAAGAACTTTTGGTTTTCAAGCAACTCATATTTTTCTTCTCATATATTATTAGGAAAATAGGACAAACTGGTTATTTTTATCCTTCAGAGAACCATGTACACATGCATTGAAAAAATTAGGAAGAAAGGGAAGAAAGGAGGAGGCAACGAAAGACATGAAATTTCAGTGATCATTTAGAATATATTGTTTTTGCTATAATTAACAATTCACTATTTCCATTGCTATCAATCATTAGCTTTGCATTAATATGTACAATTTTTATGTTTCTATGTATTAGTTAAAAATAATTTTAGTTTGAATTTTAAAATTCAGTTATTTTAATATTATATTATTACCACCTTATCTCTAATGTTAAGTTTATAATCTAGTTGTAAGGAAAATAAACGATTAATTCAGAATAAGGATTTAATGAGGATTTTCAATCTTTCTTTACATTCTTGTATAAATCTGTTTTTTTCTTAAGATTTGCAAACGCTTACGTGTTAAAAATACTTTTTCCAAACACCATACAGGTATATTTTCTACATAAAAAAATGCAAATTATATGGTGAAACTTCATTACATAAGATAAAGTGCTAAATAGAAAAATTTATCCATTTTTTTCTGATAAATTGATCAAAAATATCATTTTGTGGAAAATTTTAAAATTTCATTAATTTTTATTATACATGTTCAATAATTCCATATTACATATAATATAGCTTTTTGTTACCATGACAAATACCTGAGAAAATATAAGAAAAAATTCCATTTCAGCTCATGGTTTCAAAGATTTTAGTCCATAACCAATTAGCCCCATTACTTTTTAGCCTTTGGTGGGGACCATGTGGTGTAGTAAAGTTCATTTTGTGTCTGAGACATGAAAGAATGCCATATGAAGAGGCTGGGATTCCAATATCTACTTCAAGGACATGCCTTCAGTGACCAGAAAACCTCTTAGTAGCTTCACCTCTTAAAAGTTCTATCTCCTCCCAAGAGAGCCACCAATTGTGAACAAAGTCTTTAACATAGTCTATAATCCTTTGACGGATACGTATCCAAACAATAATAGAGTAAAATAATATGACATGATTATTTTGAAAATTAACTGGTTTCTTCTAGTCAAATTAAAATCCAGAGGTCACGTTTCTGCATAAACTCTATTCTTGTGTCTGAGGAAAGCAACAATGAATGAGACTTGCAAAACCTGGGAGAAAATGAAACAATGAAATCAGAATTTAATCTATAAGAGTAGTAATTTATAAAGTTGATACTACATAATTACCAAAATACCTCTTTTAAAGAGAAAAGGGCTTGAATCTGGTGAGCAAATTTCAGAGTAAGCTACACATGGCAGTGAATAAAAACTCTGCAGAATGAGTCTTCTGGAGTAGCCTAGTTCTCACCAAATTCACGTATAGGGACTAATAGAAAACCTATTAGAGTTAATCACATACAATGTCATTGGAATAGATACCTTGATGAACTGCTGCTCTAGTTTTTGTTCATCATCTTTCTATGTCATTTGTCTGACAAAACTCCTTCATTTTAGTATGCCATCATGAAAAATGGTATAAATACAAGATAAAATAAAGCACAGATACCATCTCCTTCTTCAATCTTGTCTTAAACACACCAGTCTGAACACAATAGAGAAAAACATTTTAAAAGAATGAGATTAACCCTCATTCTTTAAATGGTACTCTTGGTTTACTATCATTCTCTGATTAAAACTGCTACCAGTTGAGGAGATGTAATGTTAGGTCAGTAGTTTTGTGGATAAACATAAAACCAGATTCAAAATCAGTATTTTACTATGGCAAAGTATGCATTACAAAGTTGCTCCAATGATAAGCATAATAATACTATAATAATACTATAGTAATCCTCACTATAATAATCTATCCACTCATAATTTATCTGAATTCATAGCTTGCACTTCCTCTTTTCAATCCTAAGTGAGGCTGGAGAATGGTATTTTTGAATTCCCATTCTGCACTGGCACCCTGCAGGCCTTCTAATATCTTTATTTTTCTTCTTATTGAATTCCCAACATCTAGTATAGAACAACATATATTAGGTCTCTACTTTCCTACAAATTTACTGAATGAATGAATGTGTGAATACATTAACAGTGAATCTTAGTAAAGGCAATTATTTACCTAGATTTCTGAAGTTTGCCAAATTGAAGAACTCCTTACAAGGTACTCTTACTATATATTTTATATGTTTAACAAGTGATCATCCTGGATGAAGTTATTTCATTATTTTGACATATCCACCTGTCCATTTATTCTCTATCTTACTTCCTGTACACTATATATATTACATATCTTTAAAATATATGTATTTTATTTTGAATTATATAGATATTGTGTATCCTTTATCAATATTGCTTACCAATAATAAAATATAGATACTTATAATATATTTAAATTTTATATTAAAATATTTATATTATATAAAATTATATTCTAATATTTATATATTTCCATATATTTATATTAATATAAATACATATAAATATATTTTATACAGGAAAAGAGAAAATAAATGGACAGATGTGTATCTCAAAATAATGAAATAACTTCATCCAGGATGATCACTAATTAAACAGGTTCTATCTACCTAGTGACTAAGGTATTGCTTCCAGTTGGATCCTTCTTGGTATGAAGAGTCACAAGGTCCTGGCTCCTACTTTATTAATTTTTGTCCTGTTTTTCCACCTAGTTGTTTTGCAGTCTATTATGCATAGTCTATATTTAATATTTTTATTCATAAACATATAAACAAAAGCTCACCTCTGAAGTCAAAAGTCCAAAATTAATTCCAATGAAGGTTAAAGCATTAGCATCAAACCATGTGCTGATTTTACCTCCACAACCCTAAGGAAAAGAAACTACTTAGATTAACTTGGAGATGGAAATGGCTTTAATAATTCTGTTAAGCAGAAGAAAAGGCATATAGAGATTAATAATTTACCAATGTCTAGGGAGCTTCTTTGTTAGCAGGACACTTCACTTGCTGACTTTAAAGTTGCTAATATATTGACACAAAATCAAAATCAGAAATTTATTAAGTTTTGGAAAGGGGTTTGGCTTTCTGCAGACTAGTATTGTAATTCATCAGGGTACATACCACCACTGAAAATAACTATTTCTCAAATATAGAAGTTATTAAAAAATGTAATTCTTGATTTATGTATGAATCAATTATGTAATTGAAAATATACATACTAAAGTTACAAGTATAAAGTCAATGTATAAACTATACAAAATATTAGTGGTTCTTGGGAAGGGAATCCCAGGTTTATCAATATTCCATGTCATTAATACCAGTTCTTCCAGATGAGCTTTTACTTTGTTTCTGCAACACTGTCCTGATTATATCATTTTTGTGATCAAGAGGGGGTTCTCTCCTTTTAACTACCATATGTTTTTAATTCTGGTATTGTTGATCCCTTACCAATTCTATCCACCAGGACTTTCACAAAAGTACCTTTTCTTTCTGCAGGGCTTTTGCAGCCTTGTTTAGGAGAAAGATTGCTAGTATCCTAAGTTAAAGGAGTGCTTAAATCACTTACAGTTTATTTATTTATTATATGCCTGAAACAATACTACAATTAACCTAATTACAAGTTCAGTTTCATAATGTGATTTAAGAATGTAGCCACCACGAATAACATGGTATTTATATGAGAATTTGCTCAGAATTCTAAATGAACTTCCAAAACAAACAACAAACACACTTTCCACCCTTGGACAAACTTTGACTTATTTTTACCTCCAGGTAAGTTGCATTCAGTGGCTCATCACAAAACCATTTTCTTAATGTAGAATTTGTGCAAGAACACGGAACCTGGTCTGAAGTTTCTTTATTCTTATTCTTTATCCAATCTGTGTAATTGTGTTGACCACAACACTGTAACTAGGAAAAAGGCTCTATCAATTTTAGCATAAAGTATTCAAAATGCATTTAATTATATGATTTCCATGCATATTAAAGTGTTTTTGAAGGTAATCTATCTCCCCACTGCAATGTAATGAATTAAATAAGTTTATTTATTTATTTTTTCTTTCTTAAATAAGTATATTTTTGTTGATTAATTTGTTTGGTGTTGCTACTGTTCTTGTCAGCCAGAGCTAAAGATACATATAAGCAGGCATTGGGTAGATAACATTATATGTCCGTTTTATATTATAGGAGTCCCAGATTGAAGACTTTCTGGATAAATACACAAATGACATTTCACAATGTACTATACTGCAGGAAATTACTTGAGCCATATCTTGCTCCTAACTGTAGAACTTCTCTCTATGTTAATTCAAAATCTGCTGTCACACTTGTTTGGACTATTTAAAAAGAGAGAGTATTTTTACTTTTTTAGGATTAATGTGAGATATTGACTTTCAATTTGATACTGTGTGAAAAATTTCCACAAAGAATAAAAATAGGATAATAAAAAATAGTCATAGAAATGCTCAAACTTCTAAGAAATGTCTCATTTCCAGTGTCAATTCTGGAATCCTGGTTGAATTGGATGGATTGGAAAGAATCCACTTAAATATTTGTCACACAGGAAATAACAAAAAAAACTGAGTATTTTATTGTTTTCTAAATGTGTTTCCTAATCTTTGCACAAGTTAGGAAAAGTTTCATGATTTAAATTAATGCTTCAAAGTTAGGTTACTAAATATTAATCAAACTAAACACATATATATCTCACTTATATCTGTCTCTAGGAACTACAAACTGAAATCTCCTTATTAACAGTGATGTCTTAACACAGAATGGATTTTCTACTTATAAGTTTTACTGCAACCTGAAAAAGCAGCACAGGTGCAGATCTTATACATCAGAGAAAAATGAGTAAAAGCATTTATAATTAATTCCATTTGAGTTAAAATGCACTTGATATTAAATGTACTAAAAGTAATAACTGTTTTATGTGAGGCAAAGAGTGTAGCAGTAAAGAATACAAAATCCAGTGCTAGAGTCTTTGGTTTTAATCTTGACTCTGCCACATCTTAGCTGTGTAATTCTGGTAGTTCCCAATTTTTTCTGTCCTTCGTGTATAAAATCAGGATAATATTTCCTACTTCATTGGGTTGGGGGGATTAAATGAAATAATATATGCAAAGCTTTTATTAAAAGATAAGGCACTATGTAAATGTTTGCTATTTTTTTTTCTTTTTCTTTTCTTTTTGGTACCAATGATTGAATCCAGGGGGTGCTTAATCACTGAGCCACATCCCTATCCTGTTTTGTTCATTATAGTTGCTCATTATATCCCCAAGTGAAAACTTTCCATGTCCTCTATGTATACTGGTGAAAACAGGTTTGAATGCACTTTAAATATCAATGAAGAACAAAACAGTTACAAAAGAAGGATAAATTCAAGATGCTGAGGATAATGCCACTTTACTCTTGCTTGGATGAAATTCAACAAGCTCTTCCTCCTATACCCACACCTTGCTCCCACCTATTCTCTCTCCCAACTTCAGTGATCACCTTTGATACCCAACTATTAGTTTTGTACTAATTTCCTCTTACTGTTTTCTGTAAGGCATTCAGAATAGTCCACTTGGGTATGTCTTCAGGCTTATCTTTAGATCCATACTCAGAAATGACTAAATCCATTTTGTCATGCCATAGTTGTTGAACCTGTTGAAAATCGCATTAAAAAGCAAAAATAATTTCACAGAAAAACTTTTCCTAATGGTTCCCCTCAAAACAGTCTTCAATGTCAGAAATAAGAGCACCTTTTTTTCAGTGATTTTTTTTCCATAAAACTCCTTTTAGAAATTTTATTGTCAAAGCATTTGATATTTCACTTCATGATCTATAGGAAGAATATATTAAACTTACTTCATTATTAGGAGGAATGAATGTGCTAATCTCCAGAATGTCAAGGGGTTCCACATTTCTTCTTATACATTTTTTTTCAGGAATAATTGTGGAAGACTTAGAAAAGACCTAAAAATGATCACTGAAGGTCTCTTCAATGGAAACTAGGCTTCTCCAAGCAAACTTTAGGGTTCATTAATTTGATGGCTGTCTGTCCATTCATGGCTTATAATTTAATCTGTACAACTCTGTAAATTGTAGAAAACTATAGTTGTACAAATTACTATTGGTCAGGTAAACAAAAAAGATTTTTGGAGGGAGAAAATACAAGTAAATTTTCCCCTCTCCAAGCCTGTTTTGCATCTGCTAAGTGGTGGCCAATAAACGTATCTCCTTTGAGTTGATTTTTGTATTTTATTGCTTCCATTATTAATGGAGATGTTAAATAAAATCATTGATGTACTTACTAAATGTGTTTATAAGAATTATGATTTTTATATTTTAAATATGTTCCATTACAATATTTTAAGGACTCAGAACATAATACTCCAAAGTATGGCACACTGGCATACTGAATATTTTAAGTTAAAGAAATCCAGAGAACTGCAAAAGCAGAAAGGTCACTCTCTGACCTTCTCCCACTTCTTCTCAAGCAGGTTATAAAAAATTTTTCTGACCTAGTTCGACTGAGAGAAAGTCATAAGACTCTCATTCCAAGGGGGTCCTGGTGTATACCCAGAGTCCAAGATGACTCTGAACAAAGAGGCCTTATTAAGTTTCCCACAGTTATTACCATTAGATAATACCCTTTTGTCCTCTAATCACACTTCTGCATGACTGTTAAAAAATATATAGTTTTTCCCTGTGTTTTTGGCTCTTTATTTCAGAAGATTCTCATGTCCCATAAGCATTGGTTCAGTAAATTTGTTATACTTTTCTCTTATTAGATTGTCTTTTATTGCAGGGGTCTCAGCTATGAACTTGCAATGGGTGAGGAAAAGATATTTACTTTTTCTCCACTATAATACCAACACAAAAAATGATCAGATCTGAATAGGATAAAATCGTTCTTTTTAATCTAGATAATAGTAACATATATAAGCATTTTAAAAATTATGATTTTCATAGCCAACTTCTAATTTGGCCTTCAATTATATCAAAAGGCAGGAAACACTTTTAAAAGGAATTGACACTTTTAATATTGTTCATTTCAGTACTAGTCTAATGATTTTTTTATTGCATTAACTGTCTTTGAAAAATGAAAAGTAAATAATTTGTGGTAATATTACAATAATTTTAAAATGTATACAAGTTAAACTTTATTAAGTTACTTATATACCTATGCTTTAAGGCAGAGAAATTATAATAATATAAAGTGGGGATTTTAATTCTATTTTATTCCCCATGTTAAGATTTTATTTAGAATAGTTTTATTTCCATTTTATGTTGCTGCAGATGAGAGGAAAGGGACATATTGATTAATTTAGCCTCTAAAACATTATTTGGAAGATTCATAATGTATATGAATGACTAGTTAGTACATGATAATTTCATATATTAGTGATGTGACTATTATGTAAATAAAATACCTTATACATACTCAATTTAATAAGCATCTGATAAAGTTCTACTACATCTTCAATGCTGAGTTGGTACTATAAATAGCATAAAAACTTAGAAGTTCATAAGACTTTAATCCTGTTTCAATACAAATGTCAAGTTGATATCAACAATGTTGCTAGCTCTGGGGTTAGTTAATAAGTGCTCCAGTCCAGGTCCTATTATTTGGTCATGAAATACATTAATGATTATTTTTCATCTCAACCTCTCAGTGTCCTCTTCTATAAAGTGGGAGTAACAGTGCATATCTAGTTGTTGTTGGGAGGAAGTTTAATATAATGTCCCTGGAGTACTTATAATAGTCTTTGGCATAATAGTAATTAGTAGTTATTCTTTTTATTATATGTAGAGGTGAGTATGTGAATAATATTGAAGTAAGTATGATTCTGATAAATTATGTTTATGTAATCAGAATCCTTATATGTTATGTTGAGGTTATATGACCAGGTTCCAAAATTTGAGGCTGTTGTGCTGGGTGGAATCTGGTGTCTTGCCACCAAAACAACTTTCTAAACACCAACTTATATGGCTGATACATACCCCCCCACCATAAACACATGCACATAGGTACACATGTACATACACTGTATACACATACATTACTTTTTGGATGAGAAATAAGAAATTTAAGCTATAAATGCCAGGCCATTAATAGAAGGCTTTGGGTAATGTGACACCAAGATGACAGACAATAGTGTTATACAGAAACAGGAACAGTTTTGTTGGGCTGTGGCAGTTACCCTGGGGAGATCCTGAAAACCACAAAAATTAATTAGGGACTCCTTCAAGATTAAGGAAGCGAAAGAAAGGGAACTTTTGAGTATCTGCTTTATTAACTTGTTAGTTAATAATTACAAAGTGAGTAGGTTGTTGATCTGTAATCATACTCAGATCCTTATAACTGCTCTTTTTTTTATTACAGGATACAGATTACAGGATAATCTAGCAAGCTTCAAGAACACATCTGAGCTGCACTGGAACACTAAAATTTCTTAAATTATTAAAAGTAATTATGGGCAGTAATACATTTTCTTATCATAAAGTTTTTATGGATAATTTATTCTATGAATTTTAAACTTAATTTGATAAATACAAATCTCATTATAATTAACTCAATTATATCACTTAGGACCTTATCTATGCAAGATATATAAATTTTCAGTTCATCTTGTTTAAAAAAAATCACTGCATTTCAAATAAGTACAAGTCTAAATGTACTCTGTGTGTGTGTGTGTGTGTATAATCTACATTACTATAATTGGGTCAGTAATGGTAGCTCCAAGGTTGACTAGAGGGGGATGGGAAGAAGGGATATAGATCTGGATTCCTAAAACTCAGTACTACCTCATATGCATTTTTTTGTCATTTACAACTACTTAGGCAAAGTTAAAGACAAGTTCCTCTAGCCCACCCATACAATCTGACCCCTCCCCCTTCCTATACAGAATTTGAGTCCTTCTACTAAATATTTTGCCCCCAAAGAAGTTTTCTTTTCTTGGATTTTAATTTAGGCTCAAAGATCTCACTAATGGAAGGTACCCAATTTTCTTTATATTTCAAATGAAAGAATATTGATAAGGGTTCATTTTCTATACCTCCTCTTTCTTTGTGAAGATGAGTGCTGAAAATACAACTTGGACACCAAAGGCCAATGACAACACTACTGCATACTAAAACACAAGAAAAACAGAGATGATGTTTAGTTTTTAATTTATATTTTAGATGCTATAATAACGAAAAAATACACATCATATGAAATATACAGCCTAAAATATACATAGGTATCCCTAAATTTTACTGCCTTCATATATATTGGCATAATTATTGAAATAAGATCTAAATAAAAAATCAATTAATGTCTGGATAAGAATATTCTAGAAAGAAGTGATCATATTCCATGAGAACCCAAACAGGCTACTTGGTCTAATGAAGTTGTTGATTATATCCTCTTAATTCAGAAATAAAGTTGTTCCAAAGGGGAATTCAAATATATGGCACTCCAATTATCAGATCATTCTGCCAAATCTGTGATCTAATTTTCAAACTATTCTGCCATGTATGAAGTAAAAAGTACACCAATAGTAGCTTCAATAATAAACTTAATTATGCATGTGTTCTTGAACTAGTTCTTTGAAAAATTAAAGCTTCAAATAAAATTATTTTCACATGAATTAGGCTGTTTTCTTTCTTAAAACCTATAGCTACTTCAGTCTTTATCACCAGAGTTGAATGTATTGGTACATATAACTTAGAGTTTATAATAATTTACAATTTATCAGTCTAAATATTTAAAAGATAGAATATAAGTAATAATTATTTACTGTTCATATTATTAATTTCACATAGTTTAAACATTTGATACTTTAAACTAGCCAATTAAGTACAAGTCTAAATGTACTGTGTGTGTGTGTGTGTGTGTGTGTGTGTATGTATGTAATCTACATTACTATAATTGGGTCAGTAATGGTAGCCAAGGTTGACTGGAGGAGGATGGGAAGAAGGGATATGGATCTGGATTCCTAAAACTCAGTACTACCTCATATGCACCTACATTTTTTTGTCATTTACAACTACTTAGACAAAGTTAAAGACAAGTTCCTCTAGCCCACCCATACAATCTATAATTGGGTCAGTAATGGTAGCCAAGTCCTTATTTTCTATTTGGCATACATATTTTTTTTATTTTCTGAGACAGAATTTCAGAGATAAAACTATTTCTTGACATGTATTGAGAAGTTTAAATTTACAATTCTACATATACTATCTCACTTGATAATCATTAAAGATAAAAAGAGATTGGTAGAGGCAATAAAAAGTGTACATAATAATTAAGAAATGACTAGATTAGATTAGAGCAGATTACTAGATTATATTATATTAGTGTCTTGAATCAGAGCAGGTATAAACAAAATCCCTTTAAGTTGTGGAATAGCCTTTAGGCCTATACAATTTATCAGTTGACTGTGCAAATTAAAATGGTTCAAAGGAATGTGTTCATCAGAAAAATATTGGTATATTCAGAGAAGAATTAGCAAGGGTCATGATGATAAAAAGTAGCAGTAGCCTTCCATGGAGTGTCTGGAAGGGACAGTAGTATCTTTGCTCTAGGGCTTAACCTCTCAGATCTTATATTCACATGCATTTTTATGAGGGTATCTATGAAACTTTTATCATTTGGATGCTCTTAATACATAAATCACACAGGGCATTTATGTTTTTCTCGCTCTACTTTCCTCCTTTAGTTATCATCCCTAATCCCCAACATTATACTAGTAGCAGGCTGTGTGCTTCTCTTGCTTAACTGGTAATTTGTGGAAAGGAAAAAAGAAATCAAGATTTTTCTTTCAAGTCATTTCTGTCCTGGTTTCCCTATTCCAAATCTGAAGGTCAATCAGAAAATTAGGCTAAATATCCTGGAAAGAGAGGAAGATAAGATTTGAGAAGAAGACTGGGCTTTGGAGGAGAATAAGAAGAGAAAGGAGTCACTTTTTAGATTAAAAAGATTCTGAAACAGATCCTGGAAATTGTGGTTCCCAGAACAATAGGCACACAGCTTCTTGGCATCTTCCTGGCAAGATACTATAGGGAAATGACACTGTAATTTCCAGCTTTGACTAAAATGTTCATGACCAAGGTAAAAGTCTTAAAAACTCTAAGTTGCAATTACTAAATATAAGTAGTAACTGGTCCTTCTGTCAGGTGTGATTCCATTAATTGCCGTGTCATTGAGGAGGTGTGACTCTCATAGGGGAGGGATCCCGCTGGGAAAGAACCTAATGTCTATTTGCTAATCCTTCACAAAAGGGTTTCACTGGTATGCCTGCACTGAAATATGCTGGATGAATAGCCCCCTGTTGCTATCATCCCAGGCCATTCCAACAGCAGAAGGAGTACATCTGAAGGCACTATGAGACTTTTGCTTTTGTGGTAACCAGTGCAGACTGGTAACTAGTGTCCAGAGTGACCAACCAGACCTCAGTGGTACACAAAAGCAAGGTACCTCTGCATTCTTCCTGGAAATGGAAAGAAGGGCTGCAACTGAATCCTTTATCTGCTTGATAGGAGAGTGGTTATAAATTCAAATTTGATTCAAAGAAAAGTTTAAAAGCTGTATTTCATCTAAGTGAACTGTCATCCACACCTGCCACATGTGTGGTGAATGGCTCATATTCAGGTGTACACTACTGATGATCCTTCATCTTTCCATGTTAGGTGCTAAGAGAGAGAGAGATAAGAGGCTAGACAACTGCCGTGAGTCTGTCCCTCTCAGCAGTTAATTTCTCTTCGTTAAATAATAAAGTAGGATTTAAATTATAAGGTAGTTTTCCATATGGCACACTGACAGGCAAAAATATAATGACTAGAGGACATGTTTCCCCTCCTCCTCTTCCTCTCCCTCCTCCATCTGCACCTCCTTTCCTTTTTATTGGTACTACTCTTCCCCCTCCTACTCCTTCTTTACTTTGCTCATTGACTCTTATATTGACTCTTATATACTTTATTATGATTTTAGTCTTCAGATTCCTAAGTTTGGTTAACTGTACTTCATCCAGGAAATGGGTTAGTGTTGACTGTATATTGAAAATTAAATATTTAAGAGTGCAACTATGGAGGTACCTGAACCATGGGGAAAAAAACAATCTACCTGGAAGTTTCTTGGGCATGGAATGTCATTCAGATTACCCCCAATGTCATGCTCTACTGAAATACTATAGCAACATAAATCACAATTGCTCATATGAGTAACTTGGATACTCAATATATACAACATGAAATTGGGCTATTGAAGTAAAATACATACCAGAATTAGGAGCCATACAATTTTCATGTGAATTGACAAATAACCCAACAGACAAAGAAGAACAACAGCAGATCCCATTCCAATCAAGATTTGAGAAATATATATAATGAATTGTTTGTTTTCATCTGTGGAAAACACAAAATGACTTATTATGAAGTGATATTTTATTTACTTTCTATTTAATAATAAAGGCAGTTCAATGTTTTCCTATTACTAAATCACTAGGATTTTTTTCTCATTTGATCTCATTCCAGAATCTCTTATTTACTCTTAGCAACAACTTCTTTTCTTTTCCTGAAATAATAGAGAATTCCTTCAATCACAAAAATATCTTGTTACCTTTATCTTCATTTTATTCTATGATAGAAGACAATTGTTTCTAGGTTGACCTCTTCCATTTCTAATGCATATTCAAACATTCATGTGCTTACTCATTCATGTATACATTCATTAAAATAATTTTTGGTACTCATATTTGTAGGTTGATTGTCCCTTATTCTTGTATATACCCTGAATTCATTTATAATATGTTCTTTCCTTAACTAAACTGTGAATATTCAGTGTCAGTGACTGTATATTTATCTGGCTAACAGACTAACTGTTGAATTGTGGTGGTACATCACAGATTGTAGAACAGTAAATGCACAACAAATATTTGTTTTTTGTAGAAGACAAATACATGAGTTACATATGTTTTACATTTTTCTGGAAGAACAATGGAGGCAGGGGTATCCTGGAACAGTTTGTGCTGGCTCATAAAAGTCAATTGTTAAGTTTTCAGGAAATTTACAAGCCAACTGAATTCACATTGGGGTGGGGGAGTATTTAAACTATGGGAATGAACAGATGCCATGAATCAAGATTCTCTACTCAAGAACCAGTTACTAAACACTCACCAGCATTGTACTGGACACCAGGGACACACCATCCAATGAGCAAAGGAGGTTAAAGGGTTTGGTTTAAGATTACCAGAAAAAGTAATACCTGAGCATAGTCTTTAAATAATAATTGAAAATATCCAGGCTGGAGTGGTAGAAGCATTGCTGAAATTGTGGGCACTTTGTGTGCTGTTTTCCAATTTTTCTCACTTGAATGAAGTTCAACGGGGACAGGAACTGGATCTTTTTTGTTCATGATAGTATCTTCCACATATGGGGCAGTGTCTGACATGTAGAAGATGCTTAATTTTTGGCACATGAATAAATAATGGCAATGAGGATCCAGAGAAGAGCTTTCAAGAGGGGTGCTACATGGTCAAATTTGCATTTGAGTGAATTATGTTAGTGATATTTGGAAGATAGCTGAGAGAAATGATAAGAGCAAAAGACTCTTGGAAGTTATTTCAGTGTCAGGAGATAAATGGGACCTTACGTTGAATGGGCTTACCATGAAGGGAAGGTAAGCACAAAGGTGTTTTAAAAAGAGGAAAATCAAGTGAAAATGGCAGATATGTAATAAAGGAAGACTCAATATTTGGGGTCTTAATTTGGATGTATTTAATTCCAGATCCTAAAACCTTAATCAACATTTCACTAACTGATCTGAGTACACAATTTTAAAAATAGAACTTAAAAGAACAAGTTCCTTACTTATTTTTACCTTTTCTGGAGCTTTTCACAACCCAATACACCAAGATTAACAAGAATTATCTGTCAACTCCACAATGAAGAAAAAGAAAAAAAAATCTTTTGCTCCACCTTAATTGCTACATTATTAAATTAGGTATTGTGTGGGTCCTTAGTCCATTGCTTGGCACACACTGAACCCTAATTAAGTGGAAGCTATTATTATAATTATTGTGTGGATGGAAAGGATGGAAGTTTGTTGTTAAGATCTTCACAGCCCCATGACTCTGGGAAAGGCGCTAATGTATTCAGACATCACTAGCCTTGTCCATAAGCAAAGTATATAAACATAAGAGAATAATGATATCAGGCATTTAATACAGATTAAGGCTAGCTAGATTATTCCATTTTGTAGGACTTTATAATATATTAAAATTTTCTATTTAGCATTTCCTTCCCTACATTTTTTTCTTATTTGATATCTACTAACAAATAAGTCAACTCTACATTGAATGTTTGGCCTTTCATTCTTCGATGAATAGTGCTGTTCAACAGAGGGTACTGTGAGAGTGGATATGTTCTTTATCTGTGCATTCCAACAAGATGGCCAATAGCCATAAATGCCTACTGAATACTTGAAATGTGTATTTCTTCCCTTGAACAGAAGATGTTTATATTAAAATAACCCACGGCCTATTTATTCCTATACTCCAGTCTACAGTGAACACTACAAATCACAAAATGGAAAAATAAAGGCAATGTAAAGATCACACTTTTTTTTTTCATAAAGAAAGAGGCTCATCTATTTCATCCATGATTTCAAATTTGGAGAATATTATATTTTATTTGTGTGATGGTGAAAATAGTTCATAATTAAATTTTAAAAGAAATTATTCGACTATGTTGATTTTTCAAGTCTACAGTTCTGTAAATTCTAGAGTTGGCAGAAAACTCAGTTTTCCTTTCCCTCCTCTCCCTTGTCTAGTAAGAGCTCCTGGTTCCCCCACCTCCTCAAATTGTCCCTCCTTTATGATACTGGACTTAAACCCTTTTTTTTTTTTTTTAAATAAGGCACTTATTAAAGTCAACTGGCAAGACCTTTAGAAGGAATGGTGGGCCATACTTAATGGATGTTAGAGAAATACTGCCACCTGCTGAATAGATCATCATAATTGTTTTAAGTGAAATGCCTTGTTTATTTCATTAAAAGAAAAAGAAAAATATACATACCCAACGCTGTTAAAAAAGTATTTCTATCTAATAAAAGGCAGGCACCAAATCCCACGAATAAAAGTCCAAGAATCTGTAAGAAGTCAATATTTTCAGTAATTGTCTAGAAGAACGCATTATATTTCCTTCATTAAAAATATGAAAATTCTTACCAAAAAAGCTGAATTAATGAGATTAAGAAAGTACTTAAAAATTAATACTTTGTTTTTCTTTAACATTCTGCTTTTCTCTGGAAATTGGTGAATCTGAAAAGATAACCACAAGTTTACTATGAGCATTCAACACAATAAAACTTTATAATTCTGCCTACTTATGACCTTTGCATATTTTTCTTCTTAAACCAGTTTTCAGTATAACATTCCTGTGTTCCAATATAAGCATGTACTGAAGGTCCCTTGAGACTGTACCCATCTTTCTGTATCTGCATGTCTTTGGAGCAGAGGCTGTGAAGAATGTCAACAGTGCTTTACTGACCTTCTTGCAACTTTCAGATATTTTATTTTGCTTTTAATCTTCATATACCTTGCTCCCCTTGCTAGAAGCTTTTCTTAACCTTAATCTAAGCTTTCCTTCACATCTGCTTGGCCCTCCTTTTTCCAGAATAATGTAAACTCTTCATGGAAATCTCAGCTTAGAGGTCTTTCTTTAACTCCAGTTTGTCTCTCTCTCTCTCTGTTTTATCATTCACCTCTTTTCCCATCTAGAATTAGAGATATTTAAATTGAAAAACAGGTCGTGATGCAGTTATAATGCCCAAGTCTAACGGATAGTAGTACTCAACATGTTTGTTAAATCAAAACAGCAGTGAGTTGGTTTTAAAGAATTACTTATGGTTGTTTACATTAAATAATTAGTTTTCAGATAGTCAATTTTCCTAAATTCTTTGTGGAAAAGCAACACTCACCCCACTGAATTTTGATGATTTGTTTATTAGACATGGAGGTTTTAAAATCTGGGTATGTTTCTGGCTTTTCTCTTTTCCTTCATTGTTTCCATGCTCACTAGCACCATAATTAAAAAATATTATAGTTGACAATGTTTTAATATATGCAGTACCTAAGCTGACATGATGGGAGTAGATTTAATACGCTAATTTTAAACTATTTGTACCTGATTAGGAAGGAACCAATCTCTATGGCAAGTGGCAGGATGTACTGGAATGTGGAAAAATAATAATGCCCATGTTAGATTCTACCTACTTTCTTCCCTACTTTGTCCTGAAGCCAAATGCGTCCTAAAAACTCGAAAAGTACCACCAGACTTTGTCTTCAACCTCTGCTTTGAACTTGGCCGCTGTCATTTGGTTTTTTCAATTTCTGATCTAAAGTCTTATTCTTGGATTTCTTCAATGCCTGGCATGTTTTGACAGGACACACACTTGGAAAGACTGCCTGATTTTTATTTTGCATCTTCCAGGATGCTGCAGATCTTTATTTCTGGCTTCAATTTTATTCACTGCAGTATGTGGGAGAATTGTGATCCTCTCCCCCAGTATGAACAAGAACTTGCCTGGCCTTTGCCCATCTGCAAATGAGAAAGCAAAAGACAACTAGTAAACCAGAAAACCTTGCAGTAACCCTGCTGTGAAATGTTAAAGGGATGGACTTGAGTTTTGATGTGGTAATAATCAGCCTGTTACGTAGGGTCAAGCAGAAATACATTACCAAAACACTCTAATATAGAAATACACTGAAGTTTATTCTCAGTCCAAGGTGGATGAATAATTTTCTTCTTTGTCTTAGAAATTTTTGGGTACCTGAACCAACCTATTGATGTGGTTCCCCAATTTGTTTTAGGGTATCATCTTTTATATCAGCAGAAAGAAAAATAGTGCGCATAAATTAAGGAAGCACTGAGAAAAGCAACTGAGAAAAAAGTTGAAGCCCACCCTTCTCATTTTCCCTTTGCACAGACTTGGTCAAATCACTATGCACAAAGTGCTGCTGGTACAACCATGAACCTGCATGTTATGATGTGGATCTGGAATGTGCCCCCACAAAAGTTCAAGATTTGAAAGTGTGATCCCCCATGTAGTTGGGTTCAGAGGTAAGACTTTTAGGCAGTGCTTAGGGCTTGCACCTCATTTGTGGATTAATCCATTTGCTGAATTAATAATTTGAAGGGACTATGAGATGGTGATTATAGACAGGTAAGGTATGGCTGGAAGAAGTTGGTCACTGGAGGTATGCTTTTCTGGTTTATATCTTATCCCTGGTGCCTCCTTCCACACATTCTCTTTCTCTCTTTGTTGCCCTCCTGCCATGATGTTCCGTGATACCTTGGGCCCAAAGGAATGGAGCCAGCAGGGTGAATACAAATTGAATCCTCTCAAACTGTGAACTGAAATAAACTTTGCTTTTTCTAAGTTGTTCTGGTCAGGTATTCTGACCACAGTAATGAAAAACTGACCAACACTGGGATAGAGGGAAAAAGTGAATCAAAGTGAATGAAGACAGAAAAAACCCAAACCAAACGAACCAACCAACCAAACAAACAAACAAAACAAAACCACCATTTAGGAAAGGGCAATTATAAAAGATCGAGGATAAAAAGAGAAATTGAATTCAGTTTTTGTATGCTTCACTGTGGAAAATAAGCAAATATTATCAGTGAATTCCTGTAGGAAGGGGAAATAAAGGAGTAATAATAATCATTGGAAACAGGAAAATAAATAGTTTAGAAGAAACTTCATGAACTTGATATTAACAGTTGAGTCTGAAGTGATAGAGCAGATCTGCCTGGTTATAACCTTATAAGTACAGGAAATGAAATGCAAATATGTGGGTAGATAAGATATGTAGGCTCAGGAGTCAACCACAGAGCCAAAATAAGGAATTTAGAAATGGTCACAGAATTGGTGATAAAGAATAGTACAATTAAGAATTTGAAATTTTTAATATCATACTTTCACAAACTAAAAACATAAAGCATGATCTCATGGAAGTCAATAAAGGAGGAAATTTCTAGAATGCTGTAATATGATATAGAAGTGAAAAAAGGATGAGAACGCAGTACTCTCAGTCAGCCACCTTGGTAAGGAGGATGTTCAAGACTATCACAAAATAGCAGTTCAGGTCAAAGAGTCAGAGCATAACAAACTGGGCACCTAAGCAATAAGCCAAGAAAGTCCATGGTGATGTTTACAGGATGGTAAGAGATGGTCATAAGTAAGTTCTGCATACTGGAAACAATGGAAATAAAGATACACAAGTCTATGCAGTTCTTATTCAAATATTTGTAATGCAGAAGATCTACATTTGCTTTTGCTATAAAGCGTTTGTTCTAAACTTAATCAAGTAAAGTTTGGTTGTGGTATTTCTTTTGCTCAGTCCCTCACTAGTTAATTAAAGTTCCATTGGCAAAGACACTTTTTAACATTATAAATACCTGTGGGATAGACAACTTAGGATAACTTATGTATTCATAAATGTTCCTTTTCACTTGTTAAATGGCTCTACTTGCTTATCATTGTTTCTATCCCCTTCTAAGTACCCAGAGTTAGGGTCATAGAAGTGAATAAGTTAGAGCTCTTCAAGGAATTAAATATTAAAACTGTGAACAAATCTGAATTATGTGTTGGCATAGGGGAGAGAGAATAAAGGGAACAAAAAAGTTTCATAGAGAAGACCAATAAGAGATGATCTTTGAAAGATGATCAATAAAGTTCTAGTCAGTCAAAAACAGGGTAGAGGTAGGAAATATTATACAAAACACTATGCTTCGCAGTTTTACGGTGAGGTATAAGGGGCATGGATCAGAGTGGCAAGGATGAAAGATAAGGCTAGAGAAGTAGAATAAGTAAACACTGTGACAAAGTATTCATGTTTTGCAAGTTTGCTTTTTCTTATTTTTGAAGGCAACTAAAACCATAATTCTGGCACCAATGGGAAGCCAAATTAGAAAAGAAACCCAACACAGGGGGATAATTTACAAAGCCAATGAACTATTTCATAAGAGATAAAATTGTTTGAACTGAAAACTGCTATGGGGTTGTAAAACAATACCAGGATATGAGATGTTTAGTAGGAAGTAGAAATGACAGTGTTGGGCTGGTAGAAAGTATCAAAGATGGAAATTGGATTCAAGTCTGTAGAACCTAAATTATTTCATATCCTACAATGTGTCATTTTTATTGATTTCTCTTATCACAATTTTACAAACTAGGCATAATTATGCTATTATCCCTTGTTTTGCCAATGATGAAAGAGACACAGGAAAATAAACTTGTCTAAGGTTGTCCAGTTAATAAGTGGCACAGATGAGATGCAAACCCAAAAGTATAAACTACTGTCTTTGATAACCTTTCCAAGTCCCAGTTTCATCATCTTCAAAAGCAGATTAAAATAGTAATCACCTCACAGGGATGTTGTGAAAATTAAATGAGATTGTTTGCGAAGTACTTTGTCCAATGAATGATTAAATGAATCTTATTGTACCATATCCTATAGCCAAACTAAGATTAGAGAAGGGAGTTGTACATGAGGGTGGAAAATGGGATGGATAACATAGGAAAGTGATGGACTCCCATTTCCTGTGAAGTAGCAAGTCATGTCAGCTGCAAGGAGGGAGCACAAAGAAGACCAGTGAAGGACCCACTCTGAAGAGCTGGGATTGTCTTTCAGTGGAACAAGAGAAGTGGACACTTAAGAATCCAATATTATGTTATACATGTTAGAAGTATTATTACTAAGTAACCACCCTGTCTCAAGAAAACAAATCAAGAGAAATACTAACTTTGTAGCTATTTTGAGCAGTACAGTGATATTCTGGGATATTTAAATCATATCATTGCAATATCAAGAAAAAAGAGCTATTGAAAAATGCTATTAAACTAAGATGGGTCCACCATTCAGTTAACATTTTCAAAAAAGATCATTCTTATCAGATAACATGAACAAACAGGTTTTCCTCACGCTTTCATTCTCTCAATAAATTTTATCATGTGAAATCTAAAGGAAATATGTGTTAGACCTGCAGGCTGAACATCAACCAGATCTGGGAATGAGTTTCAAAACTGAAATAATATAAAATTACTTATTCAAAAAAAGAAAAACTTTGCTCAGGGTAATAGGTCTTGGGTAATTTAAGAGTATAATTTCTAAGAAGATTGTAATGTACTTCTACCAAACACTACACAGTTGAAAAGCGACAGTTTTTCAAGTTAAATTTGCTTATAGTCTGTCACTCTTAGGTAACTGCAGTTTTGTTTCTTTCTGAC